CTCAACGGCCAGACCCAGAGGGTGGTGACCAGCAGCAGAAGGTCCAGATGGAAGCTGGTCACTGGTGGTGTTCCCCAGGGGTCCATACCAGGGCCAGAACTGTTTCACATCTTTGTTAACAATCAAGATGATGGGGCAAGAGCACACCCTCAGCAGGTTTGTAGATGACGCCCAACTGGGAGGAGTGGTTGATACCCCAGAAGGCCATGCTGCTGGCCAGAGGGACCTCAACAGGCTGGGGAGATTTTTGGAACCTAACGGAGTTCAACGAGGAGAAGTGCAAAGTCCTGCACCAGCAGAGGAAGAACTCCAGGCACCAGGACGTGCTGGGGGCCATCCTGCAGCTCATCAGAGAAGGCCCTGGGAGTCCTGGTGGACACCTAGGTGACCGTGAATCAACACAGGAACTGGTTGCTCAGAGAAGGTACTGAGAGTCTTGGTGGACACCTAAGTGACCATGAGCCAACACAGGAACTGGTTGCTCAGAGAGGTTGTGGGGTCTCTGGTTTTGGAGACACACAAAACTCCACCGGATGAGGCCCTGGGCAATCTGCTCCAGCCGAGCTGGCTCTTGGCAGGGTCCCTGACAGCCCTTCCACGCTTCTCCAGCTTGAGACAAGCTTTTGGAAAAGCAAAATACCAAATTCCTTCCAAATTCCTCCAAATTATTTCTAAATTCTTCAGTTCCTTCCAAACACTTCATTTCCTTGATGTCCATCTAATGTCCTGACTAAAGTCCACCTACCTGGACTTTAGTAAGGTCTTGGACACTGTTCCCCACAGCATCCTCCTGGACAAACCAGCTGCCCGTGGTCTGGACGGGTGCACTCTCTGCTGGATGAAGAACCGGCTGGATGGCCGAGCGCAGAGCGTGGTGGGGAATGGAGTTAAACCCAGCTGGCGGCCGGGCACCAGTGCTGTTCCCCAGGGCTCAGTGTTGGGGCCGGTCTTGTTCAACATCTTCATCAGTGATCTGGGTGAGGGGATCGCGTGCTCCCTCGGTCAGTCTGCAGGGGACACCACGCTGGGCGGGAGCGTCGATCTGCTCGAGGGAAATGTCTGTGCTGAGAGAGTGGTCAGGCCTTGGGCCAGGCTGCCCAGGGCAGTGGGGGAGTCCCCATCCCTGGAGGGGTTCAAACACTGTCTGGATGTGGCACTTGGGGACCGGGTTTAGAAGCCATGGGGGTGTTGGGGTGACGGTTGGGCTTGACCTCAGAGGCCTTTTCCAACCTTTATGATTCTCTGCCTTCCAATTTCCTTCCAAATTCTTCAATTACGCCGCAAATCGGACTTGGGGGGCCCACCCGGCGCTGGCAGCCCTCCCCAGGACTCCCACCCCTCTGCGGGCCAACGCCAAGGCCAGCAACGCCGTCCGCCTTTTATCGGAGCCAAAACCCCTCCGGGTATCCAAAGGCCGAGCAGCACCCGCGTCCCCCAGGGAGCTGGCACCCGATGCGAGCCCGGGTCCCACGGCAGGGTGCACCGGGCCTCCCATGGGGAAAAGTTCTGCTCCATTTTTCCTGCTGCTCTCACTTAGGATTTAACAGCGACGAAAACCAGCATCGAGACCTCTAAATTTTAGTTTTAAGCGTCCTGTGTAAACCCCCAGCGGGCTCAACGCTTTCCAAACAGACGTGAAATCCCACGAGGCCATTTTTGGAACAAAAAGGGAAAAATTCAGTGAGTTTTGACCGGGGTAACCCCCTGCTCACACAGCCACAGCTGCGCTTCGCCGGCCAACTCCCACCTGGGAGCTGGGGGAATCAACAACGCCCCCAAAAAACAAACACCGAGCCGTGAGAAGCAACCCCGCTCGTAAACCCAGAGTCCCTCGCTCTGTTTGAGCCCCGCGGAACAAAGCCGCCCCTCCTCATTCCTGGCACCCGGCGTTATTTATTTGCCCTTTTTACCCCCTCTGTCTGCCCTGCGTTCCGGTTGGTTTGGGCACCGACGCAGTGGGGAGGGGCACAGAGGGGCGAGGCGAAGGCGGCCTTACCGGCGGAACCTCGGCGGGTGAAGGGAGGGCAGGGCTGGTCCCTCAGCCCCAGAGTGGGGGGAAGGCTCCCACAGAATCCCAGCATGGCAGGGGTTGGCAGGGCCCTCTGTGGGTCACCCAGCCCA